AGTTGGAAGAAATATATTTATCTACTCATTTGGTTTTTTGACACAGGGTCTCACTATGTAGTCCAGGATAGATTGGAACCCACAATCTCCCTGCCCCACTTCCCAAGCATTGAAATGACAGACCTGTACTGTGGCTATGCCATGACTGTACACCAAACTTTAGCAAGCAAACTTTTCATAATCAACTGCATGCAAATCCATCCGTCTGGGGCTGGGAAGGTGGCTCAGTGGTAGAGCCCTTGCCTTGCATGCATGAAGCCCTGGGTTCGATTCCTCAGTACCACTTAAGCAAAAAAGCCAGAAGTGGCGCTGTGGCTCCAGAGGTAGAATGCTGGCCTTGAGCTGAAGAGCTCAAGGATAGCGCCTAGGCCCAGAGTTCAGGCCCCATGACCGACAAAAAATAAATACATACATAAATAAATAAATAAAAATCCATCTATCTTGTACTTTAAAAAGATCTCTCATTCCTGAATCTGTTTCTAACACCATACACTGAGTTCTTGGAAAACGTTGGTCCACTGATTTACGTAGCTATCCAAAACTTCAAAGTCTTAACTATCTTCAGAAAAATCTAAGGATTGGAGAACTGTAAGTCCCAGGACTCTAAATCTTCCAAAAGTCTAATTTTCATTTAAAAGCCTGAATTTTGCCATTTGTAATCAACACTGTCAACTGTTTTAATGAACAGATTCACTTTGCTCCATTCTTAGAAAAATGGCTGCCAATCACACATGTCTGAGCAACCCAGTTTGTCAGTTGGTTTTTTTTTTTTGGTCAAAACAGTGTTCCATTAAAAAAAAAAAAAAGAAGTAGTTCTGTGGGCAACTCAACCACACAAGTCCTTTTTCTAAGGATGGACAGCATGTTTTGGTGTGCAGCAGAAAGAAATGCTTCAAGTAAACCCTGTTTCATCACCCAAATCCTGAAAATATGTTTACATAGGGGTTTATATTTACTGTAATGGGTGAATTTTTACTTCTTGAGCAAAGACACTCTTAACTGAAACTGGTGGTTAAAAACTGTACTTGGCAATGAGAAATATGATTTACCACAAACCTCTGATAAGGCACTAGCAATTTTACATTTGGTTTTCTAAGTGCAAATATCCACACATTAAAGCACTGAGAGTTAATGATGTCTTGGTATTGTTAACACTTTTTGGCCAGGCACTGGTGGCTCATGCCCCATTATTCTAGCTACTCGGGAGACTGAGATCTGAGGATCATAGCTGGAAGCCAGCCCAGGAAGAAAAAAGTCTATGAGACTCTCATTTCCAATTAATCATGAAAAGCCCGAAGTAAAACTGTGGCTGAAGTGGTAGAGTGCTTGCTTTAAGCAAAAAAGTTCAAGGACAGTGTACAGGCCCTGAGTTCAAGACTCAGGACTAATAAAAACAAGTAACACTTTTCATATCAGGGACCTCCACATACTGAGAAGTTCTAATGCAGTTTACCTTTTTTAAAAAATAGTAGTGTGCTTTGAACTCAGATCCTTTAGCTTGCCAGGTAGGCATTTATACTATCACTTGAGACATACCCCTAACTCCTAACCTAACTTGATAAAACTTTACTTAAGATGTAATATACTTTAGTATATACATATTTAGTATACTCCTGTAATTATAGCTACTCAAGAGGCTGCGATCTGAGGATCATAGCCTGAAGACAGCCTGGGAAGGAAAGTCTGAAACTCTTATCTCCACTTAACCACCAGAAACCAGAAGTGGCACTGTGGCTCAACGTGGTAGAGTGCTAGCCCTGAGTGATAAAGCTCAGGGACAGCTCCCAGGCCCTGAGTGACAAAAAAAAAAAAAAAAAGCCCGTCACCGGTGGCTCACACCTATAATCCTAGCTACTCAGGAAGCTGAGATATGAGGAGTATGGTTCAAAGCCAGCCCGGGCAGGAAAGTCTGTGAAACTATTATCTCCAATTAATCACAAGAAAACTGGAAATGGTGTTGTGGCTCAAGTGGTAGAGTGCTCGCCTTGAGCTGAAGAACTCAGGGACAGCGCCAAGGCCAAGTTCAAGCCCCACAACTGACAAAAAAATAAAAATTAAAACACACACACACACACACATTTGCTTATTGTGTGATTTGCTTAAATGCATCAAAAAGCCTTATTTACTTCATTTTATTTATTTTTGGTTAGTCATGGGGCTTGAACTCTGGGCTCTTCAGCTCTTCAGCTCAAGGCTAGAGCTCTACCACTTGAGCCATAGCACCACTTCCAGCTTTTTCTTCTTATGAGGTGCCGAGGATTCGAATCCAGAGCCTCATGCATGCAAGGCAAGCACTCTACCACTGAGCCACTTTCCCAGCCCCAAAAGCCTTACTGAGCCTAGGTACCCCATGATATTTTCCCCAAAACGATCATTAACAGACCAGGACTCTAAATGAAAAGCTTCAGAAACTGAAGACAAACAACAAGTACCATTTAATAATTAAGATACAAGATAACTGTGGCTCCAACACTCCCATTCATACACTGCACCAGCATTGGTTAGACTGCCTGAGTCCTAGCAACCATTTAAGTGCAAAAGAAATACTTTAGCCCCAGCTTTTTTTTTTTTAAAACAGGGTCTAGGGCTGGGAAGGTGGCTCAGTGGTAGAGCGCTTGCCTTGCATGCATGAGGCCCTGGGTTCGATTCCAGCACCATGTAAGCAAAAAAAAAAAAAAAAAACTGGAAGTGGCGCTGTGGCTCAAGTGGTAGAGCGCTAGTCTACAGCTGAAGAGCTGAGGGAGAGCGCCCAGGCCCCGAGTTCAGGCCCCACGACCGGACCCCGCCCAAAAAAAAGCAGGGTCTAATTTGAGGGCTAGCCTCAAATTCAAAATCCTTCAGCCTGTATCTCCCAAGTGCTGGAAGGCATGCACTGTCAAACCTGGCCTCAGCTGAGTCCTGAAGTGACTGCAATTCTTTTTTTTTTTTGTCTATCATGGGGCTTGAAGTTAGGGCCTGAGAGCTGACCCTAAGCTTTTTCTGCTCAAGGCTAGCGCTCTACCACTTTGAGCCACAGCTCCACTTGTCGTCTTCTGGTGGTTAATTGGAGATAAGAGTCTCATGTGGGACTGGGAATGTGGCTTAGTGGAAGAGTGCTTGCCTAGCATGCATAAAGCCCTGGGTTCAGATTCCTCAGTATCACAAACAGAAAAAGCCAGAAGTGACGCTGTTTTTCAAGTAGTAGCTTTGAACAAAAGTGCTAGCTTTGAACAAAAAGAAGCTCAGGGACAGTACCCTGGCCCAGAGTTCAAGCCCAGGACTGTCCCCATGCCTCTCCTCCTCCCCAAAAAAAGTCTTTTGCCTGGGCTAGCTTTGAACTATAATACTCAGATCTCAGTCTTCTGAGTAGCCAGGATTACAGGTGTGAGCCACCAGTGTCCAGCATGTCTGCAATTCCTTTACTTCTTTTAATTTTTTTGCTGGGATCAGTCCAGGGCTTTTTATTTATTTTTTGCTAGGGATTGAGTTCAGGACTTCTTTCACTAGGATGTGCCTGATCACATCCCAGGGCATGACTGCAATTCTAGTTGCCGGCTTCACTATAGCCTTATGGGAAACCCTGGGCTAGAACCACTCAGCTAAACCACTACCAAGATCCTGACCTTTGCAAACTTAAAGTTACTATTTATTGTTTTAAACTACTAAGTCTTGGAGTAATTTGGTACACTGTACTAACAGCAAGAGAGTAAGTATAACAAGGTATCTAGAACCTAGTTCAGGGTAGGAAGAGCATAAAGCAGTCAAGGTAAGAATGTAGCTGACTACTTAAGGGTGTTCAGATTTTGCTGGCAGATTGTACTCTTAACAAGAAATCTATGAATGTGGCTCACACCTATAATCCCAGTACTCAAGAGGTTGGAAGATCTCAGGTTCAAGGTCAAACTGGGTTATGCAGTGAGACTGTCACAAAAATAAATAAAATAAATAAAACAAATTTTTAAAAAGACAGAGAGACTTTATGTATCCATCCACAAAGACTCTTCCAGGAGAGGAGCCAGATGACAAACCAAACTTTACTAAGCTATACTAAACTATACTAAAATCAAATGAGGATTTATTCCTTCTGGAAAATGAATCAGTACTTAAACATTCTTTCAAGTCTGAAAGAAGTTCTTGCTCAAGTTCTTTCACTAGATAAAGTATTTGTACCCAGGCACACTAGCTGTTTCTAGCAGGACACTTGAAGTAAGCAAGGCTTTCTCCTTTCACTTTCCCCTGCCGTTCTAAGATCCCAGCCTTTTAAGAGGTGCTCTTTTCTTCCAGGTTCCTTACATTCCCCTACCAAGAAAACACTGAGCTGTTCTTCAACCCCCACTTTTGCATGCCTTGGTCACTGAAGAAGAAAAAAACATTTTATGATCCTTTCCCACAGCCACTTCTATGTTTGAAATAAAACTTAAGTTCTACGACTTGATGCCACCTGAGCCATGATACAGGGACAGTTTCAAATTCCTAAATACTTCATTAGCTTTTTTCCTTGACTTCCAAGAATACGGCCTTGCCATTCCTTCTTGCCTAGCTGGCTCAGTATCCTAGCAGATTGTAGTCTGCTCAAAAGGAATGCTCTCTAAGCCTCTCTATCTGCAGACAAGTGCATGAAAGAGCTCAGTTTGCCTCACATTTCCCAAGGCTGCGAGTACTCCCTTTGATTTATTAGACAAAGGTGACCAAACCCTAGACCAAAGATACTGGTGGCCCTTTTATAGAACTCCTGAACTGTCAGCCTTCATTACCAATCTACTTCCCATGTACAGCATCCTTTCCTGCTAGAGCCAGGATGAAGGCCACTTAAAATTTAAAAAAGAAGAAACCAAAGGCCTTGGTGGTGAAGGGGAGGCATGGAGAGATGACGCCACTTGCACAAGCTTGCTTGCTTTTCACCACTCCTACCTCCAGACCACACGAAAAGATTAAGCACTGTGTCCTCAGACCCGCGACCCTGATTTCTGTTAAAAGGGTAAAAACAAAGAATAGGAAAAGAAAGGAAAATAGAGCCTTACAGCCTCCTTGACCAGTTTTCTACTGGATTCCACTACTCCGTCTGTCAATGTAAACTCCGTTTTAATCATCTCCAGCACATTGATAGCTGATTCCAATGGTGTGAGCTCAGCCTCCATATCAAAGGAACAGTCTAGGACAAAGCAGAGTTTTCACTTTAAGCTCTTTTCTACAGAGAAGAAAAGTTATGCCCATATATAGATATATGTATACATATATATATCCCTATATGTATATATATATACACACACACATATGTATATGCACATTTATATATACATATATTTATGGGAAAGGAACATGCAAGGATAGTAAGATCCACAGTTATTTGGAGATGTACTTGCTACAATGTTACATATATAGTAAGGGTCTAAATTCAAATTAGTGAATTTAAAGTGGTCAGCTTTTAATACTCTCTCTTTTTACCAGGGTTTTGAACTCCTGGCCTGTAGTTATCAACCAGAACTCAGAACTTTTGCTCACTGGTGCTCTACCACTTGAGCCTCACCTCCAGTTTGTCATTTTGGTGGTTACTTGTAGAGTCTTTAGGATTTTTCTGCTCAGGCTGGCTTCAAACTAGATCCTAAGATCCTGAGTGACTAGGAATACAGGTGTGAGCCACCACCAACCAGCGCTTTTAGTACTTTCAAGATGGCAAGGTGGCTTGGTGGTAGAGTGCTTGCCTCGCATGCACAAGGCCCTGGGTTCAATTCCTCAGCACCACATAAGCAGAAAAAGCTGGAAGGGGTGCTGTGGCTCAAGCAGTAGAGTGCTAGCCTTGAGCTGAAGAGCTGAGGGGAGGGACAGCGCCCAGACCCAGAGTTCAGGCCCCAGGGCTGACAAAAAAATAAATTATATATATAGCTATATACATGTATATATATATGTATATATACACACACATACATATATGCATATATATATATATATATATTTCCCCTCTTCCCCCTCCCTCCTTCCGAACTCTGGGCCTAAGTGCTGTCCCTGAGGTCTTCAGCTCAAAGCAAGTGCTCTACCACTTGAGCCACAGTGCCCCTTCCAGTTTTCTGGTGGTTAATTGGCAACTTTCCTGCCCAGGCTGGCTATGAATTTCGATGCTCAGATCTCAGCCTCCTGAGTATCTAGGATTACAGGTGTAAACCATCAGCACCCAGCTTAAGACAGATTATTTTTCCACACCTGCATTTGCCCCTCAGATTCAGAGTAAAGGCATCTATCTTCCTCTGATACATGTGACCAGAAACAAGATCATCTGTTAAGCCTCAGTCAAATTCAGTTCAGAAAATAAATAAATAAATAAATAAATAAAACGTGTTCGTACTCTAAAAAGCACTCTACAAGGGGGTGAGGTTGGGGATGTATTCACATTGAGGTAACTAGCTTTGGACAATATTAAAGTGAAGTGAGCAATTAACAGGTGGGACACACACAGATAAAGAAATACAGCAAAGCTTTAAAAAAAAAAAAATCCAACTCAACCGGAACTGGACAAAACAAGAAACCAAATAACCCATTTTAGAATATAAGAGATCCCCCTGATGACAAGAGCGTACTTATTTTAACAAGGAATCAATCCTTCAGTCCCGGATCTAAGTTTGTAAAACAACAAAACCCTACTCAAGTAAGCTCGGGAGAAAAACCACCACCAGCAACAAAACAAAACCGCGAGAACAGCCATACCTAAATTCTCCCCTTCTTCAATGCGCGACAGACACTGCATAACACGCAGCAACCGGGACACGGCATGCTCCTTCCCCAAGGGCCTGACAAGCAAAGCTGGGAAAAAAGACATGGTTGGCTCGGCGACCCCCGCAAGGCCCCAAGACCCGGGCCCCACAGACCCCCGCCTCCTCGCCCGGGCCCGGCCCGGCCCTCACCCTGCATGATGTCCCGGATCTGTCGGAAGTCCCCGTATCGGCTACCCCGAAAGGCCCGCAGCGCCTCGTGGAAGTAGAACTTGAGCACCCAGCGGTTGACCGCCTCCTCCAGCCGGGCGTCCCCCGCGCCTCGCTCTGCCGCGGCCCCCAGCCCCGACTCGTGGCGCCCCCGCCGAGCCCGCCCGCCGCTCCGGGACGCCCGCCGGCCCGCCGCCCGCCCGCTGCGGTCACTGTTCCCGCCTCCTCCCGCCATTGCATCCGACCGCCGCACGCCCTCCCCGCCGTCCCCGCCCTCCCGTCCGGGCCGCTTCCTCGGCTGTGACGCCGCTGGGTCACGCACGACGCCCGGGCCGGAAGCAGGGCCCGCCGTCCCGGCTCCCGCGGCCATGATACGGGCAGCGCTCCAAGCCGCCCGCGGGCTTCTGGGAGGGAAAAGACGCGAGGGTGGTTGGCGGGCGGGAAATCCTCCTCGGACGCCGTAGTTCCTGAACTGCTCGCCGCGGTGCGTTCTGGAACTTGTAGTCCGTACTACCCTGGGATGCTGAAAAGTCACTGTTCACCCAGTAGTTCAGCTTTTGAGTTTACAGAATTTTTCTACTGGACACGCGGGACAAGTTAAAAACATTGAAAAAATAATATTGAAAAATAGAAAATAACGTGTAGATTATTAGACATTTTGAGAATTGTGACAAGGAGCATAACAAACGAAAATTTAATAAATTGATATTTTAATAAATAATTTATAAAGCCAGCAAGATCCCAAACAGGGCCAATTGACAGGCTGCTCAGGGCTGAGCAGGTGGCTTAGTGGTAGAGTGCTTGTCTAGCATGCATGAAGTGCTGGGTTCGACTCCTCAGTACCACATAACAGAAAAAGCTGGAAATGTCGTGTGACTCAAGTGGTAGAGCACTGGCCTTGAGCAAAAGAAGCTCAGGAACAGTGCCCAGGCCCTGAGTTCAAGACCCAAGACTGACCAAAAAAAAAAAAAAGCAATGGATAGCTAACACATTTTTAGATGGTGTTTGTTTTTTCTTTATTGGGAAATAGTCATACACAAGAGTTCCAGATTATTTTCCAAAGTAGTTGCACCATTAACACTTTATAGTGAACAGAAAGTTACATATATATGTATACATATATAACTATCTTTTACATTACCCAAGATACACACACACACACATATAACTACTGCTTCAGCTGCACCCTGGCCCTTTAGTTGTGTTGTTGTTAATATTATTTCATTGTGCTGGTGCTGGGACTTGAACTCAGGGCAATTTCATTCTTGCTCAGCTTTTTTGCTCATGATTTACACACAACCACTTGACCAATACCTCCAGTCCTAATACATTTGTTGGATGAGATCTCATACCTTTTACCTAGGAGCCAGCTTAGGCCAAGATTCTCCTTCCTCTGCCTCCTGCATAGTTAGAATTACAGATGTGTACTGCACCACCTAACTTGTCTATTGAAATGAATTCTTGTTAACCTTTTACCCAAGCTGGCCTCAAACCAAGGTCCCACTAATCCCTATCAAGTAGCTGGGATTACAGGCATGCATTTGCATGCTGCTCCGACCACCCCCCCAAAATTTTTTTTATTTCACTCTGTGGTCTCTCTTTTACATTCTCTGTGGAGTGTGTTTATTAACTAAAGTGTAGTATACCCAAATTACTTCAGTGTAGTTGAATTTACCATTTTCCTTCACAGGAGCTTGTTGAACTCATTTTTTTTGTTGTTCAGAAGCTATGAAGATATTTGCCTATATCATCCTCTAAAGACTATCGATTTTAATTTTTCAATCCTGGGGCTTGAACTCTGGGCCTGGGCACTGTCCCTGGGCTCCTTTTTTGTTTGCTCAAGGCTGGTGCTCTACCACTTGAGCCACAGTGCCACATTCAAAAAAAGTCTCACAGACTTTCCTGCCTGATCTGGCTTCAAACCGTGGTCCTCAGATCTCAGCCTCTTGAGTAGCTAGGATTATAAGCATGAGCCACCAGTACCTGACTTCATATTAAGTCTTTCTATGTACTGGAAATTTGATGATTTCACATAATATGAAATAAGGTACAGTTTCCTTTTTTTTTTTTACAGAGGTATCCAGCTGTCTTAGAACCTTTGGTGAAAACTATCTGCTGTTCCATGTCTCTGTAGAGCCATCTTTATTATAAATTGTGTGTGTGTGTGTGTGTGTGTGTGTGTGTGTGTGTGTGTCTGTGTCTGTGTGTGTATGTGCATGCATGCTGGTACTGGGGCTTGGACTCAGGGCCCTGGGTGCTGTCCCTTAGCTTTTCTGCTCAAACTGGCACTCTACCACTCACTTCTGGCTTTTTGCTAGTTAATTGGAGATAAAAGTCTTACAGATTTTCTTGCCCCAGATGACTTCTAACCACAATCCTCGGGTCTCTGCCTCCTGAGTAGCTAAGATTATAGACATGAGCCACCAGTGCCTGGCAGTGGTAGCACTTTTCTTTCTTTCTTTCCTTCCTTCCTTCCTTTCTTTCTCCCTTTCTTCCTTTCTTCCTTTCTTTCTTTCTTTCGTGTCTGTCGTGGGGCTTGAACTCTGGGCCTGGGCACTGTCCGTCAGCTCTTCAGCTCAAGGCTAGCTCTCTACCACTTGAGCAACAGCGCCACTTCCAGTTTTCTGGTGGATTATTGGAGATAAGAGTTTCCTGCCCCGGCTGGCTTTAAACCTCGATCCTCAGATCTCACCCTCCTGAGTAGCTAGGATTACAGGCTTGAGCCACTGGTGCCCAGCTGGTAGCACTTTTCTTAAACATGAGTTACTAGCATCTTTGAGTTGTAGATGAGGGTTTCTTCCCTCTCCCTCCCCTTTTTTTTTTTGTCAGTTATGGAGCTTGAACTTTGAGCCATAGCTCCACTTTTAGTTTTCTGGCAGTCAATTGGAGATAAGAGTCTCATGGGGGCTGGGAAGGTGGCTCAGTGGTAGAGTGCTTGCCTTGCATGCAGGAGGCCCTGAGTTCAATTCCTCAGTACCACATAAACAGAAAAAGCCAGAAGTAGTGCTGAACAGTGCCCAGGCCTGAAGTTCAAGCCCCATGACCGACAAAAAAAAAAAAAAAGAGTATCATGGACTTTCCTGCCCTAGCTGATGTTGGCTTTGATCCTCAGATCTCAGCCTCCTGAGTAGCTAGGATTACAGGTGTGAGCCACTGGTGCCTGGTTGGGGATTTCATTTTGACATACCCCAATATACATACCATGTGTCTTGATCAGATTCTCTCTCCTCCTCTGTCTCTCTCCCTCATCTCCCCTCCCCATCGCCCAGCATTCCTTCCTTCCTTCCTTCCTTCCTTCCTATCTGTCGTGGGGCTTGAACTCTAGGCTTGGACACTGTCCCTCAGCTCTTCAGCTCAGGGCTAGCACTCTACCACTTGAGCCACAGTGCCACTTCTGGCCTTTTCTGCTTATGTGGTGCTGAGGAATTGAACCCAGGGCCTCATGAATGCAAGGCAAGCACTCTACCACTGAGCCACCTTCCCAGCCCTCCCCCCACCCCCCGTATTTCTTTTCTCTTGTTATATATCAAGTGCATGAGGTACACAGAAACAACGCCCACCTGGGGCAGGGATTGCCAGGGCAAAAGCCCAGAGGACGTGACACCTGGGTGGGTCCTCATGACGGTGAAATCTGTCATCTCTTTTTATGACTGCAATCTCTTTGCTATCTGTATGGCACATTTCCTACCCGGCTTTCATCTGTCTTCTATTTTATCTGATTTGGAAGCGTCCAGTGTGCCTCACATACTGGCTTGCAGTAAACCAAACAACTCATTGTCAAACTCTTATTAGAACATATGAATTCCATGTTGGTTAGCCACAGATCCATGTCACCGAGGGCTGGGGTTGGACCTCCTTATAGTTTCTGCCAACTGTAGCGCTACAAGATTCCTGAATCTCACCCACACATGGCTTCCTTCCCCAAGCTTGAGCCAGCTGCCCACATGTACACCAACCAATCCACCCGCTCACCCTTGGGAGTGGTGGTGGAATTCATGCCACACCCCCAAAGGCAGTCTTGCTGTGGAAGAAAGCACCTAGTCAACTCACAGTAAGCATCTGAGGAGTCACCAGGCCCAGCTACAGTAAGATAAGGATGTGGGAAGCTGGGTGTGGTATTTCATGCCTAACTACTCAAGAGGCTGAGAGCTGAGGATCCCAGTTTGGAGCCATCCCTGAACTACAGCTCTGTGAGACTTTTTATCTCCACTGAATCGGCCAAAAGCCAAAAGTGGAGCTATGACTCAAGTGGTAAAGTACCACTGTGCCTTGAGTGAGAAAAGCCAAGCAAGAGCCACAATATCCCGAGTTCAAACCTCAGTACTAGCACACACACAGACAACACCCCCCACCCCACACACCTGTTTTGCATCAAGATTGGAGAGACAACGTGGCCGTTCCCCACCCTGAATGAGCACTAACACCATTGAGAGGTCAATCTGTAGATTCCTGCTCCTTCCCCCACAGGCCCAAGAGGGAGCTGAGTATGTGAAAGGGAGCTAGCTTGTGTTTTAAACTAAGCTATTTGGGAGATTGAGCAATTACTAACCATCAGTATCTATTTATCATCAAAAGTAATATGGGGCTGGAAATGTGGCTTAGTGGTAGAGTGCTTGCCTAGCATGTATGAAGCCCTGGGCTTAATTCTTCCGTACCACATAAACAGAAAAAGCTGAAAGTGGCACTGTGGCTCAAGTGGTAGAGTGCTAGCCTTGAGCAAAAGTAGCTCAGGGATAATGCCCAGGCCCTGAGTTCAAGCCCTAGGACTGGTTAAAATAAATAAATAAAATAAAATAAAAACCAATATAAACCGGTCGCCAGTGGCTCATGCCTGTAATCCTAGCTAATCAGGAGACTGAGATCTGAGGATCACGGTTCAAAGCCAGCCTGGGCAGGGAAGTCTGTGAGACTCTTATCTCCAATAAACCACCAGAAAACTGGAAGTGGCACTGTGGCTCAAGTAGTAGAGCACCAGCCTTGAGCTGAAGAGCTGAGGGACAGCGCCCAGGCCCAGAGTTCAAGCCCCATGACTGAGAAAAAAAAAAAGAAAAAAGGTAACAATATAGAGCCTGGCACTGGTGGCTCACATCTATAATCCTAGCTCAGGAGGCTGAGATCTGAGGATCAAAGTTTGAAGCCAGCCTGGGCAGGAAAAATACGAGACATCTCTAATTAACCACACATACACAAAAAGCTGGAAGTGGAGCTGTGGCTCAAGTGGTAAAATGCTAGCCTTGAGCAAAAGAGCTCAGGGAATGTACACAGGCCCTGAATTGAAGCCCCAATAAATCTCCCTCCCCTTCCTTCCCCAACACACCCACATACCCACCCACCCAACCCACACAACAAAGTACCAATTTGGCAGTATCTATTAAAACTCCAAGTTCACATCCATTTATTTATTTATTT